TAGAACGAGAGGTCGGTGACCTAACTTACGCTTCATCAAAGCGCAAAGCTACGGCAGCCCCGCTGCTGTAAGTTTGCTCTGCTATTTCAAGTGTGTTAAATGCGACTTAGACAAAAACTAAAAATATACGTTTACTACATTCATCAAAAAGCTATTGGATTTACTTAACCTAAGGCTACAAACAACGAACATTTCGTTGACGGAGTCTCATCGTCTTCATGAGTAAACACTTTGTTACCTCCGAACTTTTCACAATTATACAATTTGAGATGTAATCTTCGTACAATTGTATAATGCTGATATAGTACATTTGCACCAATTGTGGATATAGTACACAAGATCATAACACAACAGCACAGTACATAACCCTGTTTTGGTTGCATGACGTCATCATTCAGGAAAGAACCCTTCGTTGGTATGCATGCTTCTATATTGTTTCTGGGGATTGTTGTCTTATTAAACTAAATATAATCCTATCTTTGACAGCGGATTATAGATTTCGCAACGGCACTAATCTCTATGCTAAGAGCACAAAATACTCAAATCTCGCTCGCGAGAAAGCTGTCTTCAAGCGTTTGATAATTGGTCTGGATCAGAGAATAAATTGGTGCTATGAATGGAATATGGTTTTCCCAATATGCTTACATTATGCTTCCTCACAAGAATACAATGAAAACGATTTAACTACTAAGATGATAGAGTTCGTGCTTCTTTAAGAAAGTAAGGCTGCCATGGTACCTCGATGCTGACCAGTCAGTTCTATACACCACTGAAATCAATTCTTCTTCTAAATTAAACGAATGCTACGATCCCATGTATCGCAGACCAAGATAGAATTCTTAATTTTCAGCTATTTTTAAAGCTTAATCGTATAAAAATGGTATCGGTTAATGTGTTGTGCCTAAAAATAAAGTTCTCAGGATAGGTGACGTTTGCGAGCCAGAACACCTTGAAATAGAGGCGGACTCTGTTTTGTGGTCATAGGTGCGCAACGCCAAGTTAAGCGTTGAGCGCTGTGAGCAGCTTCAAATGGCCACGTGCATCGCAAATGTGTGAAAGAGGCCCAGGTAGTGCCTAACATGTCATTCCTTTACTGACGTGGATGTTATCTACGTGACCCCCCTCCTATCAAGCCGCCATCCCAGTTACGCAATGCGACGCTTTTACTACTCTTCGCTGATTGGTGGGAACTAAATTTTAATTCTATTCTTGTCCTCGTATTGAACACGCGGATTGGCGGATTTTCCGATAGCGTCCTTAGCTTCAACGCGCCTGTCGTGAATGCAAATTTTTAAACTTTTCGAGAATCTTACAACGGAATTTCCAGACTCCAGCTCAACTCAAAGTTCATACATCAAGATGCCGTCCCCTCCTTCTACGAAGAAAGCTAACGCCGGTCCCGGCTACTATGATCTCATTAAGGAGGCTGTCATTGCGCTTAAAGAGCGCTCTGGCTCATCTCGCCACGCAATTGACAAATTTGTGGCGGCCAAGAAGGGCTCCAACTATTCAAAGTCTCGGCTAAATATCGCACTGAAGCGTGGCGTCGAGTCGGGCAAGCTAGTGCCTGTGAAGGGGTCATTCAAACTGGCTACAGATGAGAAAAAAGTGGCAAAGAAACCTGTCGCCAAACTAGTCGCGAAGAAGGCCTCTCCAGCTAAGAAGCCTGCAAGTAAGCCGGTTAAAAAGCGTGTCTTATCCAAGACTGGAACGAAAAAGGTGGCACTCAAAAAGTCACCTAAGACTGCTAAAAAGCTGACTACAAAGAAAGTCGCCAAAGGGGTGAAGAAGGTCTCCTCCAAGAAACCCAAGACTACCAAGAAAAAAGTTGTAAAGAAGTCGGCTGCGAAGAAGTCTTCAAAGGCTGCGTCAAGTTAACCTGCATTGCTTACATCACACTGTTTTATTACTAGGTCAAGTCTGTCGTGACACCTCTCGGCAACTTCCTTTATTATTAATTTGAATGAGAACTACATGTAATGAATTTGCTTGTTTAATTGTTATAGTTCTATTTACTATAAAGCTGCAGCCGTTGTTCTTCGATGATAGCTTGGCTTTTTTCAAGTTTAACTTGTAATAAATGCAAATCTTCCTGCAATTCAGAGATTGTCTGATCTTTACGTGCCACTGTTGACCTAACGCGCTCGTGTAGATTGTCAAGAGCCGTATCGTGCTCACTTCGTAGTTTCTGGACTTGTTGCTGAAAGTGACTTTCCAACATTGCCTGTTTTTCACGAAGTGCTGTTATTTCGACGCTCTGCTGTTGCTTTGTGTACTCGGTTTCTGTCTGTAAAGAGCTACAGCGATTCTCTGCCTGTTCCATTGAGTGTTCATGCAACTGCCGCTCTTCATTTAGCCGAAGTGCCAAGTCGGATGATTTTTCGCTTGCCTCGCGTAAATCATGCTTAAGAACTTCGTTCTCGCGCTTAAGCTTATCATGAGCCTTCTCTAGTGTATTCAGTCTCTCATGCAATTCTCGGTTTTTCTCCATCCATATGCCCTCGATCTCGCCCGTTTGTCTAAGCTTACGCTCATATTCCAAACGCTCCTGGCTAAACTTCTTCAGCGCCTTCGATTCAGCTCGCTCGACCATCTGCCGACTTTCTTCCTGCAACTTTTCAATCACTAGCTCGATCTTCGCATCGCGTGACCGCAACATCTGCTTCTCCATCTCTTGCTTTTCTTTGTTAATTTCATCACGTAGCTTGCTTGTGAGTTGCACCTTAAACTTCTCACACTCTACGCTCGTTTGTTCGCGCAGGGCGATATAATCGTGCTCATATTTTGCTATCAATTCTTGTTTCTCTTTGCGCAAATGTTCAGCAGCAGCTTGTAGTTCCAATTGATGCCGTTCCTTGAGTCCATCGAGAGCATTGGTATGAGCCAACTTTGCAGCACGTAATTCACCATACAGCTCATCGCGTGTTGCCTCAGCCTCCTCTTGCAGCCGTCGACGCTGACTAGTGAGCTGCTGCTGTAATTCAGCATCCGCAGCATCTAAACGTAGCATTAGCTTCGCGCGCTCTTTCTCTCGTGCCTCAATAAGCTTGCGCTCATATTCGTCTCTCAGGCGCTGCAATGTGGCATCTCGCTCTTTTTCAAGCTGCACTCGCAAATTACGGCGTTCTTCGCTGGCAGCCTCACGCGCCTTCTCAAGATCTGTTTTGCCTTTCGAAAGAATGACCTGAATATCGGGCTCAAGCGCTGCGACAGTCAACTTTTTGATCTCCTCAGTCTTTTTGACGATCCATTGCTCTCGTCGGATCTTCTCTTGCGCTACCCATCTCTCTTTAGCATCCTTAAGCTTCAATTTGAAGCGCTCCACCTCGCGTGCATTGTTAGCTTTTGCTTCTTGAATCTCGGCCACCAACTCATTACAACGCTTTGCTAGCTCGGACTAAATTGAAGCAAGACAATGATTACAATGGCAACGACACATCATAACAGCGTTTACTGACCTTTTCCGTCACAAGTTTTTGAGAAAAATCCATTTGCTTTTCCAGCTCCTTGTTGAACTTTTCTTGCTGAGCAGCAAACTCCTGCTTCGAGTGCTCTTCAGCTTCTTCTAGTAATTGCTTCGTCTTTGCAGCATCTTTCTTGCGGGCCATCGTAAGCAACTCAATAGTTTTTGTCTTGTCCTGCAGATAAAAAATAGCCATTTATCCTTTCTTTCTTACCCCAGCTGCTTGCATCGCATACCTACATTCAACTCGATCGTGATCGTCGCCAGCTTTTCCTTGATGCCAACGTAATATTGATGAGTATTGCTGTTCTCGGTTTGATTACTGATTGTTGAGCTACAACGTTTTGGAGAAAAACTATCGCCAAAATTGCTGCTACTGTTGGGCCGCTTCGCGGTGTCGACCCGTCCAAATTCATCAGCCGTCCTTCGAAAACGCCTAGTTGGATACGAAGGTGCACTCACGGCACGACTCTCTAGCAAAGGCAACCGAGCTGCACCCTCGCTCTCTAATGTATCTAAATAGTCGTAAATACTGCTACTAGCACTACGATGACTGGAATTACTGCCTGCTTTGGAACCAGATCTTCGGATCTCAAATTTTTCCTTACAGATAACTTCTTCTTCTTGTTGAGGTGATGGTAGACACAGCACTAAGTCATCAGCTTCATCCTGAATGCTTTCCATCCCATTTGCTGCAACTGGTAGCTTTCAATTCACAAACCTTAGAGAAATTTTGACCAGCATTGTTTTACGTCGTTACAAAAATTCAAAGCTTACGCGCATGTTGTCAACATCCTTTATCATCGACCGTCTGGACCTCGCTTCGATGTTTATCAATGCTATTAGCCTCAATGACAATATACAGCTTGAAGTTTTCTTTCTCACCATGTACTCGCATACGCTCAGCATCATGCTGCCGATGCATCCTATCAAATGAGGTGATGAGCGTATATTTAGAAGGAGTTTTCTGAATATTTTATTGCGTGTTGGAATACAAAGATTAAGTGATCATACTTCAAGGTGACAATACATAACGTCAGGACATTTAGCTTGAAGTTGGTCGAGACGGATGCCATTTGTAAAATCTATTAACTAATGTTTCGCCAACGTCGCCATCCTCTACTCGCACTTCGCCGCGCCTGCACTGCGCACGATTGCGGCCTAATTCGCTCAGTGGTATGCGCTTTGTCTTTATCTTGTATCGTGGTGAAATTAAAGAAAAATATGCCCGTACAGTCGTCTAGCTCAGATTTGGATCTGTTTACGCCGACCGAAGAGCACGGTGCACTACGGGGTATGCTCGCAAATTTTGTGAAGACAAAAGTGGAACCCCAGGCTTTGGAGTATAATCGTGAAGAGAAATTTAACATTAAGCTTTTTCGGGAGCTTGGGGACATTGGACTATTGGGCATTACAGCCCCTGAAAAGTATGTGCTGAATCTATAACCCTGTAGCTATCATTCTGCTGTAAGCTTTTATAAACATATCTTGCCTGTGGTTCGATAGATTTGGCGGCTCAGAAATGGATGCACTTGCTGCAGTGATTGCACACGAGGAGTTGTCATCCAGTGATCCGGCTTTCTGTCTGTCTTTCTTGGCACACTCGATGCTGTTTGTGAACAACGTCGCTCGCAATGCATCGGAAGATCAGTGTCAAAAGTACCTTCCTGACGCTTGCTCGGGCGCCAAAATATGCGGAATGGCTATGAGTGAGCCCTCAGTTGGAACGGATGTCTTAAATATGCGAACGACAGCGAAAAAGTCTGATTGTGGTAAATATTATGTGCTAAACGGAACCAAGTAAGTGACATGACTATGCGTTGCTATTTAGGGTTGATCTTTCACCTAAGGTGTCGCGAACATGTGTAGAATGTGGATTACGAACGGCGCATTGAGCGATACCGAGTTGGGCGATGTGTTTTTAGTGTATGCACGCACTGGCACTTCAGGAAAAGTCAAACAAGATTTTTCGTCTTTTATTGTTGAGAAAGGTCTCGAAGGGTTTTCGCTCGGGCAACGCATCAAGGACAAATGCGGAATGCGCGCATCTAATACTGCTGAACTGGTGTTTGAAAATTGCAAGGTGCCAGTTGAGAATGTAGTGGGTACAGAGGGTAGCGCTGTGCTTTGCATGATGCGCAATCTTGAGATTGAGCGTGTAACATTGGCTGCGATGAGTTTGGGTATTGCCCGCCGTTCGTTGGAGATCATGAACAATTACGCTAAAGAGCGCACTGCGTTTGGTCAACCGTTGAACAATTTTGGGCAGATTCAAAAGAATATTGCTGAATCGTACGCCCAATATATGGCAGGACGATCGTATGTGTATCTTACAGCAAGGTGAGTCGGTAAAGGTGTGTTTAGTCAGACTATCTCATCGTAATGTTTGGTAATACTTTTTGGCAGTAAGCTAAAACTAGACTCAGTGGGTAGCCGAGTGGATACTGATGGCGTCAAGCTATACTGCGGTGACATGGCGAAGCGAGTTGCAGATCGCGCGATTCAGACACTAGGTGGGTACGGCTATGTTGGCGAGTACAACGTGGAGCGTCTATGGCGCGACTCCAAATTGCTTGAGATTGGCGGCGGCACGAATGAGTCGCATCACAAGAATATGGTGCAAGATTTCGTTCGGAATGCTTTTTAACCATCAAAATTAAATAGTGAAAAGACTCCGATGCATACATTGTGGTAAATGTTACCAATTTATAGAACCTTCCGTGGTGTAACTTGCAAATGGTACACATTCTGCAAACGATCTTTCTTTGAAGTCACATCCTATCACTAATTTACACGTGGCGTTTCATTTGGCATGTTGTTCTCGTTTGGTACACGAACCATCCTATTCCGCGACTACGAAATTTCAAATGAGTAATGGTGCTCTGGTCGGTGACCGTATCAATCCCCGCATGGTATGTAGCGTTTGGTCATGAGGAGCTTATACACACAAATGGGTGGTGAACGCCTGACGGGTTACTACCCCAAGCGGGTCAAACCCGTAGTATTCTACTTGTGCCTCACAAGCCGAACCCGTGAAGTTTCAACATTTTAGCCAATCTCCGTAGCGAAGTCTGGGAGGGGGGTTTCACTACGAGTTTAAGACGACGGCAGTTTGCGCTGCGTATCCCAAACGGCTGCAGTGCGAGCATGCCTGTAAATAGCAGCAGACTAAGCGGGTAGCGCGGTAATCCGCTGCAACACTATCGTCATACCGCTTTTGCTAAAAAAATTGACCAGATCTTTTGTACTGGTCTCTGGGCATCATTCTGGGCGTAGAATGGAATCTCCTTTGACGGGGTGCCCTCCAATCCCCGCCATTCCTGATATGGGGAGGTCAAGGTTTTTCTATCTTGATACTGAATTTGAGATACATGATTGGTCGCTAAGGTTTTTTAAAAGCGCGGCCGTTCTTCTTTCCTTCGTTTTCCCAGAAACGTTTTCAGTCATTTTCAAAAGCAATCGAGCGGTGGCAGGCGAGGCCCCAAATATACGCCCCTGCGCCCTCTTTTGAAGTGACCATCACTCCAACAGGTACCACCAAAATTCGGTCGCCGCATCAACTTGGGGTCATTTCTAAAGAAAGAGCAAGATACACAAATTCACTGGCGCATATCGACCACTGTGACCCCGTGACGACAGCTACATCCACTGGTCTGTCATTGATTTCCACAGCCACTTGCAGCAACAACACGCAGCTGGCTTTGTCCGAGCTGGCGACCGTAGCCATCATAGGTGATCCAACATTAGCCGCTCCTCGGGAAGAGGTAGTGCAGCCTGACAAGGCAGCAAAAAGTAATAAGAATACGGATTTTACAGCGACGCGCGTTGAAGTGGTAAGCCCTAGCGACAGCTCTACTCCGTGGACCTCGGGCACGCCCCGAGGGCATTTTGATAGCAGCTTCAGCTCGCATCCCCAACAGAACGTCACCAGCCTGCACGTTTGTGTTATGATGGTTGAGAAACAGACTCAGCAAAAGCCCATTTCTACCGACAAAAGTTGTGGGGAGTCTGCCGTATCGGTTAAACAGGAGCCCAATAAAAAAAGCAATGGAGTGGTGAAGGATAAGGAAGAGTCCAATGATCTGATCTCGCCAGTAGTCTGTAAGGAACCCGGAATCGTTGCCAACAACGCTAACGGTGCGACTAGTAACTGTGAAAAAGGCAATAATATATCGATGAAGCCCGTACCAAATCTTCCACGTGAGGTATTGCAGTACGCGCCGCTGCTTGTAGGAAAATACTACATACAAGATAAGCGGGCTGTCTGTTCAGGTATGTGGGGCATGAGTGATGCTGCTTTTGAACCCGACGGCGTTATTAGTCCATTTGAAATGAAGTCGCAGGAAGACGTGTCTATTCCTACGTGTTTCGGTAATGCCAGCACCGTACACCCTTCTATCTCGGGATCGGAGCTTGCACGCTCGTCTAAGACGACGAATTTTCCTGTTGAAGAGCAATCGCCTGTGTTTTTAGGCTACGAGACGGATGCGACTGAACGTTCGGCGATGCCGTTCGAGGGAAAGTACAGTGGCTCCTTTCAAATCCAGGCGATTAAGGGTAAGCTACAGACTGTGGCAGAAAAAGACGTCGACATTCGATTCGCTCACGATGTCACCACTCCGTCGCAGTTTGTGGTCACCGGCTCGGGCGAGAACCGCTTTGGTGTATTCACTTTGCACGGCTTTTTAGACAAGAAGACGAATGAAATGAGGCTGTACAAAGTTTACCAACCGAAGGGGCCTAGTAAACGTACCTTGCCAAGACGTGCGAGGTCAGTGCGTGCAGCTACACCGGTAATTAAGCAGGAATCGAAGGCCCTTTCCGTCTCCGCACTTGGTGTTACGGCGACAACAGCGTCGGTAGACGTCACGAAAGATGTTACTCCACATGCTCGTCCTTCGATTATCGCGCCACGAAATAATAATACTGCAGCGTCTGATCATTTGTCTCCTTCGTTGGTGCTTGGCCGTTCGGAGCGGAAACGTTCCATTCCGGCTCATCTTCGTGAAGACAATATCCTTGAAATAGAACAAGCTCCGATGAGTATGAAGAAATGTTTGAGTATTCTCAAGGGCCTTATGGCCAACCCAAAGTCGGCCCCCTTTCTGACTCCTGTGGATCCTATTGCTTTGGGTATTCCGGACTATTTTAACGTTATCAAGGAGCCAATGGATCTTGGCACAATCCGTAACCACTTAGAAAATGGTTCCTATGATAGTCCATTGGATTTTGCAGAGCATGTGCGATTGACATTTCGGAATGCAATGCTTTACAACGCAGCTCATAGCCAAGTACACATTTACGCTCGCAAGCTCGTGGACGAGTTTGAAAAAAGGTTCAAAAACATAAACTTGAAGCTGTTTACTAAGGCTAAGTCCTCGGATTTAAAGTCAAAGAAGGAGCGGAGCGCAGATGGCTTTTTCTCTTCCAAGAAAACTAGAGGCGGAAAAGGCACAAAGGGCAATACTAAGCGTCAGAGCCCCGGCGAAGATACGGGCCTTATCATGTCTTTGAAAGAAGATATTGAGCGTCTTAAAGCGACTCTCGAGCAGCTGCAGCCAAGTATGGCAAAGGCTGCTTACGTGAGGTCTGTCAAGGCTGCCAAGTACGTGTTTTTTAGTGCTGGATGGTCTTAACGTGCGCTGACTTAAATTGTTATTTGCTACGCCCTTGCGCGAATTGCATAGACCATTTAAGATGGATGATTTGACTGAAGAGGAACTTAATGAACCAATGAGTCAGATGGACAAAGCCCGATTAAGCTCCGACATCAAACTGCTCCCTCAAGACAAAATCAATCGTGTACTTCAGATCATTGCAGAAGCTATTCCCGTAGCTAAGCTGGCTAACGAGAATGACGAAGTAGAGCTAGATATCAATGCGTTCGACACACGGTGTTTGCGTATGCTGGAAGGATACGTCAGGGTAAGAATTGGCCTCATTACATTTATTATCTATGCTTATACAAAGATGTCATCGTTGATCCATGAAGGAACACGGAATTGGTCGCAAAAGGAAGCGACCAGCCAAAAAAGCAAAGATGCTCCCCGCCGAAAAGCGACTTAAGTCAGCAAAAATGGCGGCAGTAAATATTCGCCACCGAAAGGAAGAACTTAAGAATCAGTTGGCCGCAATCGATTGTGTTGCACCTGATGGAGCAAGAAATGGGGAAATCGGCGATCGTCGGCCAAATGAGGATGTTACAATGACAGACGTAGATGCTGACACTAAAGCTGGTGCAACGAATAAAGGAGGCGAAAGATTTCCAGATAGTTCATCGAGCTCTTCTGAGTCTTCAGACTCGGACAGTGATAGCGATAGTGAATCTGATTCCGACGACGACGGCGGTGCTCCTCTCGAAAGGGTGGGTTTGTGAAATGTACTAGAGCAAGTGAGTTGTTAGTGTTGGCGTCTTCAATCACGTATTCATGACGGTGTTGCGTATTATGTTGCAGTCGCCTCCGCTTGCAAGTACCCCAAGTCTTTCACAGCTTGACACTTCTTTCTCTCATCCCGGTGAGTGGCTTAAAATCACACATTGAAACATAAGAAATCTTATCTTTCTGTGCTGAATGCAATAGTGGATGCTGCCAAGAAAATACGTGATGAGCAGTTGTTAAGCACTGAGCCTCTACGAGTTGAGAACCGCGGGGCTTGGAGTATGCTTGCGAAAAAAGAAACTTCTAACGGTACTTCGCTGATTTTGTCGAATGGCGAAAGTCATTCAGCGAGCTCTTTATGGTTTTCGGCACGTTCGATGGAGCAGATCAAGCAGCAGAAAATTCAGCAGAAGGAGAAAGAACGAACTGATGAACTGGAGGCTCAAAAACGTCGCGAAATCGAACAGCGCGAGAAGGAGAAAGAGCGTGAGCTTGTAGAGCGACAGAAACAGGAGCAAGAGCTGGCCGAAAAAATTGTTGAGGAGAAACGCCTTCGTGACGAACGTGCTCGTCAAGCAGAGCGTGCCCGATTGGAGCAGCTCGCCATGGTTAACGACAAACTGATTCGTGACGACGATGTGGAGCTCCATGACGTCACATTGAGCGAAGATCTTGATGCTTTCAGCTCGTCCTCGTTTTTGTAAAGTCGGTGTGCGATGAAAGACGTGCCGATGACAAGCAAATTATAATGAGCTGCTATCGAGTCGTAGATATTTATACCGGTACACCAGGTAGTCAGAGTAGCTAATCTATCTAATAACACCCAAAATAGTGGATAATTCTTGCTGTGACTGACTTTTCGAGAGCGCTACTAATGGATAGCGATGGAAAAAAACTTTGCAACAAGCTCCAAGAGCTAAACGAAGAGATTTCAGCGGCAGTTCTTGTGCAACAAGATGCTGTAGGGAATGCGTCGACTTTCCTTGGTCGCGAAGTTGCACGAAAGGATGCGATTCGGCTTGCGAAGAAGACAACAGAATGGCGCGACGATGTGTCAGCGCTTTCCAAACACATTGATCTGCAATTAAAAAATTGTCGCGCATTGCGTACTGAGTATGCGCAATCATTGTTGAGCCCGTCGGACCGTAAACGACAGGAAGAAACAGAAAATTCACGTCTGCGATGTTTACGATCAGATCTGCGGCTTCTTCAAGAATTTCGGATGCACTATTCGCGGCAGCGTTATGAGAAGGATACTACACCACTAGTTACAATAGAGAAAGAGATGGTTGAGAGCCATTGTGATCTACTGTCCAGGACAAACCCAGTCCTGATGTGTTTTTATTGCTACTTGTCTTTTTAGGAACAACTCAAAACATTTCTTGACATCAATGTCAAGAAAGAGAAGATTGGGGGCAACCAGGAGCAGTCTGCACTTGCGTTAGAAATCTACGAGATGCGGCGAGATATCATGAGTCGAATTTCGGAAGATTTTGTCAAGGAGAAAAAGCGATTGGACGTTGAAGCTGGGTATAGTTATGAATATTTACTTGTGGAGAAGCGTCTATTGATGCTTGTTTCGTTCTACATCGCAGCAACCTAAATGCATTGTTAAGTGACGGCTTTGGGAACATTGGAATGAATGAGAAAGATTCCCTAGCTTCTTGGGATGCACAGCTTTATATATCCTTTTCACTTGTACCTTTCATGGATGTTGAGCAATTAGGACATGACCATCAGATTTCTTAGCGTCACATGTTTTGGTTTGTGCACGTCATACTTATGCAGGCTTTGCAGAATTTACAGCAGGAAAAGCGAGCCAGACTTGTAGCAAATAGCCAAAATTCGTTGATTCGCTTCGAAGAAGCCAATGGTACTGATACTACCGCGTTAGAGTTACAAGCACCGTTAGCAACAAAGGTCCAAGGCTTGAAGTTTGACTCACTACTAGATGACGCGCGTATCGCTATGCAAAAGCTCGAGCGAGAAGTTATCGAGCTAAAACTCGCCAATTCGAAGCTGATGCTGACAAATTCGCAGCTTGTAGATGATCTTTCGCATTCACAAGGTAAATTTGCTGAGGAAAAGCAAGCGCACATAACTTTGAAGGAGTGCATTTTACCAAAAATTCAAAAGGCAAGGATACTTTTTACTTCATCGCTATGAATCTTGTACGCACTCACATCAACCTTTGATTAGATGGAGGACGTGAGTCTTATTACCACGAAGGCTTTTGAAGAGGTCAAACTTAGTGTAGAGCTCATGACAAATATGTACAAGGTTTGCTTTCCCATAAAGGTGAACGAAACCCCAATATTAATGGATTCTATACTTTCACAGCAACTAAGCAGTGCCATGACATTACACCAAAAAAGTGAAGACCATTTAAAGCAGGTAAATTATCTATCTGCTTTGATACGTTTATCGCGACTGACTTTGCGCATGCAGGAACGCGATCAAGTATCGCTTTTATTGGCTGAAGAAATCAAGAAAGTGACCATTTTCGCAAAGGTAAGAGATAAAATGTTATTCCAATGTAAATTTATCATGGAGCATTGGTTTTGCAGGAAATCGAGCACAAGGATCGACTAATTACACTAGCTATGGCTGCACGATATGAAAGTATTCAATGTGCAAACCGTCACGAGAAGCTGGCGAAGGAAGCAAGCGACAAGCAAAAAAATTGGAAATCACATGCTCTCAAAGCTGAAGCAGAGGCTGAAAAATATAAACTTCAGTTAAAAGAGGCATTCCAGCGTCTTGACGTTACACAAGAGGAGCTTAGTGATGCGAAGAAGTCAATTACTCAGCTACAAGATGAAGCTGAAGCCACGAGGCAGGCTGCAGCAATTAAAGAAGCTGAGTTGCTTGCAGACTCCGACAAAATACAAGCTGTTTTGCAACAAAACTTGGATAAGACGAAACGCGAGCTTATGGAGTCAGTAGCGAAGATGCTCAATTTGGATAGCAGACTTCGTAAAGCCCAAGAAAGGCTTATGAAAAAGGCCGCTGATAGTAACAAGTAACTTGACAAATCACTTGTTAATAACACTTATATTTCAATATCCCGTATTTGTGGCATTCGAATGTGGCGCATTGTTGTTCCCTGCTGTGAAGGCTTGAATGGTGCCTGTTGACCGTACGGCTTCGGAATTCCTAAGTCTTCTGGAATGTAAGCATTTGGCCGAGCCTCAGCAGTTGTAAACATCAGCTGTGATAAATTGTTAGCGACCTTCGCAGCAGCAGCCTTTGCCAGTTCTTTTGTCACCCGATTTTCATTACTGTTGAGTCTTTGTGTTTGCAATCGCACAAGCTGCTGCTCGCAATAGGCATTAGGTGCATACCCAGCTAATTTGCGCTTTCGACATTCATCAACATCTACGGATGCTTCGTGCATCTCTTGCTGTAATTTTATCGCTGTGGCTTGATACATCGACAACTCAGATACAACAGCCATCATGCGACGCGTTGTCTCCTTGATTCGACCCTGAAAGTCATTAACTCGTTTGGCAAGTTCTAAAGTCTCACCACGACGAGTAGCAGCTTGTGCTCGAAGACTATTGGAAAGACCCGTCACTTCTTCCAGGACCAACTCCTTTTCGAGAAGTTGCTCTTTCTTCTGATGCAATCGTTCCTCCAAAAGCGTAAGTTTCACCACTAGCTGCTCCTCATCCGGATCATCTCCGTACAGAGCGCGCCATCGATCACTATTCACCGGCATTTCCAGATCACGGCATAGTGATTCCGTTACGTCCTTCTCGTGCTTCAAGTTTTCTTGCATAGCAAGAATACGATGCGCGAGCTCGGGAAGGTGCGGCAATTGTCTTCTCGCATTCTCAAGCTGTCGTTGAAGATGAGCAAGCTGAATCTTAATAGCTCGGATTTCTTGGTCTTTGCGTGCAAGTCCGGCTTCGCCCTTACTAATAGCAAGCTCTTGCATATTCGACTTCTCATAAAGGATACACAGCTCGTCGTTGCGATCGATTAGCTGCACACCAGTGGCATTTCGTGCATCCACTGCCAGCTCGAATTTTTTCTTCATCCGTAGCAAATCCTTTTCAGTGCGCGTAATAATGCCATTGAGCTTGTCAATCTCAACAATTTGTTGCTCGACTACTTCCTGCTTCATCCGGTACACATCGTGTGCCTTGTTAGTGTCAAGTCGGAGCGAGTCACGAGAGCAATGTGCTGCCGAATGCGCTAATTGTTCTTTCACGAGCGCCTTGTCCTTCGTCGTAGTCTCATTACGAAGTACCTCCACTTCGTTATTCAAAATTTTTATCTTCTCTTTCATCTCAGCTAATGCTTGGGTTGAAGCCTGAATGAGGTTCACGTACTTATTGCGTTCATTCTTGACGACGTCGTACAGTGCTGAGAACTCACGCAAATGGTTTGTCGTTTCGTTCCACTTTTTTGCCAGATCAAAAATCACAAGCTCCTTCGTTTTAAGCTCTTGCTGAATTTGACGCTCTGCGATCAAGGCTGTCGTGGCTTCACGAGCTTTAAGCTCGCGTTGTGCAGTAAGCAACGTCAACAACTTTTTCTGCTTTGTTTCCTCCACTAACCACTGGGCAACCTCTGCTTCAAGTTCATTCACTTGAGCTGATAGAGCATCAACTTCTGCACATTGCAACTTTTCGCCATCCTCCTGCTTCAAGAAACGTGCAATTAGTAAATCCACCTGCTGCTTTACATCCACTTGATGCTGCGCTCGATGTTTGTTTTCTGACTGCAGCGCTTCTACTTGATGCTGTACTTCAACCACTTGAGCTTGCGAATTCGGAAGTAATAACTTCATGTCGTCAAGCATGAGTAATCGTTTCTTAAGCTCGCGCTTTAAGCGATCGTATGCCTTTTGCGCCATACCAGACCGTTCGTTCTCGCGGCGCATAGCAACCTCCAGCGCTTTCGCACGTATATCAAGACGAGTCTTCTCACCAAGCCGCATAATGTTGACATTATGCTCCTCATGAAGATGCAGCGTGACATGATCGACATCTCGCTGACGCTGATCAACCGTTTCTCGATGCACATCTAATTTCTCTGCAAGTTCTCGATTAGATTCATCGACATCGCGCAATTTGGCAGCGGTCGCGTCCACAATTTCTTGCAGCTCACCAGCGCGCACCTTGTCCTTATGCATTTCTCTTTCCAATCCTGCAATCGCACGTGCCACAATATCGGCTTGCTTTTGCAAGCGATCCGGATATCCTTTAAGCTGATTAAAACGCTTTAATTCAGCTGTGCCGGTATGCTTAAGCCGTGTGTTTTCTTGATGTAAAAAGTCTAACCGCGCTAAGTATTCTTGCTTGCGCTGCATATCTTTCGCTAGCTCCTTTTCCAAGCGATTAGTCTCGTCAGTTAGCTCTGTAATCTCGGCATTAAGCTGTTTCACTTCAGGCTCAATAAGCTGCACATGAGCAGCTGAAATAGCTTCCTTTTCCGCCACCAAATCAGCATATTCACGCTGCAGCTCTGTTGTTTCGAACGATAAAACTGCATCTTGGTCCACTGCTTCAGCTAATTCCCTCAGCGCATCATCTTTCTTACGTTCTAGTAAAGTTAAGGCTGCCACTTCTTCAGCCTTTCGAATAGCCTGCTTCTCTACCTGAATTTTCTCGCCAAGAAGGTCGCGATTAAGCGCCTTGGCTTCTTTCAGCAGCTGCCTTTCGTGCTTGTAAGTAGTCAATACACACGCATGCAGCTTGGCGTACTTATCTTTGTGAAACTGAAGCTGGTCAAGTGTCAGCATGTCCGCTTCAAAGTACTGATCTAGTAGGCGGAAGGCTGATGCAAGCGCCGACTTCGCGGGTTCAGGGGCAGCTATCGCGAAATTATTTACTGCTACAGATTCGTCAGGAGTATTAACGCTGCCAGTGCTTGGCTCTTCATTCTCTGCCTGCTCCACGACGCTGTCATCAAGAAGAACAACAGGGCTAGCACCGTCGTCATCTTGCGACTCAATTATCGTCATGTGACTCTACCTCTGCGCTGCCAGATTGACTCCATATATAGGCCGTACTGCTCTCTGCTATAGTTGGATAGACCATCACTCGAATGTTGAAGGGTGGTAGATTCCACTGCATGTTAATTTGTCAAAGATAGAAATTTTAGCTCATTAAAGAGTTGGATGCCATTTAGTCAAACGAAGTTTAACCCGCAATGTGAAAACGAGGCCATCATGCATGGTAGCACGTAAATGAATGTTCATACAAGCGGCGAAATGTTGCGATATGTAGACAGCAACCGATTTTCCCGGTGGTTACCCACCTAAGTAGGATCTTTAGATGTTTACAACACGGATCTCCTTAGGGTGGTTGCGGAATGGTGTTGGGACACCGAGCATTGAGACGGAAGGTTTACTACTATACAAAGCTTCTTGAGTTAGATAGACCGATGATTTTAATTCAATATTCGAATGCATCAAATTTCATTGGGGAGAACTTTATAGGGATTCAGAATCCCTTTTGGATCCATCAGCTGCTTTACTTGCCTCATTAGCCGAATCGAATCGTCCGACTTGGACAGGTGGAGGAATGGTGGTTTGTGCGTACCAATACCATGTTCTGAGCTAATGCTACCTCGATATTTGGACGTCCACTCAAAGACAAAGGGCTCTAATGCATTAAAGACTTTTTCGTCGTATTCCCTTGTAGAGACATTCAAATGCAAATTGCAGTCACCCATATGTCCAAAACCAACCACTTCCGCTCCGAGAGGAGTCACTATATCACGAACCTCTTCCACAATTTTGTAGTACTGATCTAAGGGTAACGAAATATCATACTTATACACAAATCCACGAGAGCTTAGCGACAAAGAGATATCCTCACGAAGCATGAACAGTTTCTGTGCTTGAGAAGCATCTTGAGCAACCGTACCATCAACAACAACACCCGATCCCATGACATCCTCCAAAAACGCCTCCAGCTTCTCCATATCGTGATGACTATTGCTGCCTGAGGTCTCAATCAGCACGTAGAATGGGCTAATCGTCTCAAGTGGATCTTTTGTCCAGTCCTGTTGAGAAAAAACTATGTCGAGAGACTGACGGTCCATGAACTCAACAGCCGATAGTACCTCGCCCAGATTTTTCTTTGCCTCGACAAATGCTTTTTGACAAGCAGCAAAGTCTTCGCAAGCAAGTAAAGCTACGTTTTTAGAAGACGAACGCGGAGGTGTCAAAATTGACACCTTGGTTACCACTCCTAGTGTGCCTTCAGATCCAATAAACAACTGCTTAAGATCATAACCAGTGTTGTCCTTACGCATGGTACTCAAACAGTCAATTACTGTGCCGTCTGCCAGTACAGCCTCAATACCTAGAACTGTGCCATGCAGCGATCCATACCTTAGTAAGCGAAGTCCACCAGCGTTGGTAGCAACATTCCCACCGATCTGACATGTTCCTTTAGCCCCAAGATCCAGAGGCATCATGTAGCCATGCTTGGCCACGTAGCTATCTAAATTTTCAAGGATACAGCCAGCTTCACACACCAAGACGCCTGAAACCTCGTCAAATGAAATCACATTGTTCATTGAGCTCATAGATAGAACAATTTCGTCATACACAGGTACACTGCCACCAACGAGACCCGTGTTTCCACCTTGTGGGACCACTGACAGATTACGTTGATTACAGTAATTAAGAATTGCTGAGACTTGCGCTGTAGTTTTAGGCTTGAGCACCATTTGATGATTGCTTTGCGCTTTATACTTCACAAGCCAGTCTACTGTAAATGGTTTAGTGTCCTCGATGTCAGTGAGTACGTTCTCGGGCTTCAGAAGCTGCTGGAAATATGACTTATCATCACTGTTCCAGCAGGCAAGCGCAGGATTACGTGCGGGTGTGGAATAGTCGTGAATTATTGCAAAACAATGACGAGAGGATTTAGCGCCGGATCGATATCGAGCCGAACGAAGGACACTAGCAAGCATCGTGAAATTGATAGGTACTGGTATCCGGGCTGATAAAAAATGTTGCGAGAAGGTTGCACAGAATTTAACTTGGTCATCTGTCCAACCGTTCCAACCAGATTAATCAATCGCGACCATGTCGACGTGTACAGCATGCCGGTTGGAATTTACGTCGTTTCTGGAGCAAAAGGATCACTTTCGCATGGACTGGCACCGCTATAATCTTAAACGTAAAGTGGTGGAACTTCCACCGATCTCAGAAGAGCAGTTTGAGCTTCGTATGCGCAAAGTGCGCGAGGAGAAAGAGGCGCAGGCGGCTCGTGATCCGAAACAAAAGCAGCGCACCCGTAAGGATGAATTGAAAAAGGCGGGCGTTAAGTCAATGTTAAAGTGTGTACCTTGCAACAAACTGTTTACGACACGAAATGCACATGAGAACCATTTGTCGTCCAAAAAGCATATCGATAACGCAAAGAAAATTCCTGATTCTGCCGACATGGTGGCCATCGTAGATAAACCAGTGCAAGGCGTCATGTTAGATGCCATTTCTGCCCAAGATACGGATTTTGGCAACCCCACGGAATTGACCGCGGAGGAGCTGGCTGAGGAAATTGAGGAGTACAAGAAGCACGTGCCATTAGAGAAAGAGGACTGCATTTTTTGCTCGCACCATGCAACAGACCTCAACTCGTCCTTAACGCATATGTTGAAAGAGCACGGTTTTTTTATCCCGGACCTTGATTATTTGGTAGACTTGGAGGGCTTGATCAGCTACGTGGCTGAAAAGGTTAAGGTTGGTTTCTACTGCTTATATTGTAACGGTAAGGGCAAGTCTTTCCGCTCTTATCAAGATGTGCAGAAGCACATGACATCTTTATCGCACTGCAAGTTGCGCTATGAGGAGGAGGATCTGAATGAGCTACTGGAGTTTTACGACTTCTCCATGCAGTATAATACAAACAAAATCGCTTCTACAGACGAAGAAGTTCAGTGGGAAACAGATAGTGAGGCCAGCATCGATAGTGACGAGGATGTGACTGAGGAGAATGTATCAAACCACGAGGCCGAAGAAGACACCATTGAGGTTTCTGAGACAGGTGAGCTAGTGCTTGCGAGCGGCCGCCGTCTAGGTCGTCGTGAGTTTCGCCGTTACTACAGGCAGCGATTTCGCCCGGACGAAACGCGAGCGTCAGTGCTTGCTGCACACAAGGAAAACCTTTTGTTGGCATACCAATCAGCGGGAGTCGACCATCGCACTGGCAGCACAGCTCTATCTACGGCGTTTGTGGCCAACTTTATCAAAAAGCGCAATAATATTGCAGGTGGTATGTCGATCGTAGAGGCCAAACGTAAGAACTTTTGGCACGAGAAAAACCGTTCACGATTAGATAACCGCAGTCACAAGCTGCAGAAAAATCCCAATCGTAGAGCTATGGTGACCGTTTAGGAAACGCTAACCGGTACAGAAATTAAAATAACCACATTTTAAACTAAATCTTACCGGTATATATCCAGTGTGGAAACTGCCACATACGTCAGGGTCCAATTTGTATCTATAACTGACAATAAGATGCGATCTGGTCCAGCCATTTTGTCCTTTCAAAATTGCTCTATTGGAAAGCTTATAGGTGTGTTCGCCCGTCTCCAATGTCAGAAAGTGCCTTTAACGCAAAAGAGACTCCAACTTAGTGACGACGATGTAAAAATTTATTGCATTCGAATCAATACTACTTGAAAATATGACCAGACCTATGTAAGCCGATCTTCGACATCCTTTGCTTACTCGAAACATTTGGTCTGACAAATATCCATCAATCTATCAGACAAGTGATCAAGGGATAGACAGAGCAGTTTCTACTTCGAAGCAGGCAAAACGCTCAAAATTTCTTAATAACTTTACAGAGATGCCAATTGCGGTAATATGGATATCGTCTCAATGCAACGTTCCTTTGTGTTGCATCATTTCTCGACGTTTGCACTGGTTCATGAAGTGTGCGGAATATCGATGTGTCCTCGCGCCTTTCTTTTGGATCTGAGCTTACCATATGGTGGGCTTAAACATACGTACCCGTCCCTCTAGCGTGCATGGCCGTTTAAAAATGTTACACGTATACTTTGATCAAATGAAAACTGATGCCCTGTCGCTAGCTCGCCCTTGTCGTTGATCGCGGTATGTCGCTTGTG